AATAGGAGATTTTTGTGCTTTGAATCAGTCAAGAAACATAGGCTAGGAAATTGTGGACAGATAGGCTTCATGCCGGGGTTCAGCGAAGAAAAATGTAGCACATCATATGAAATACTATTCAAATCGATGTACCCCTCCTCCCCCCTAAAGAATAAATGACAAAAAATAAAAACAAAAATGAAACAACTCATTGGCACTCATACCACATCTTCTTATATCTATAAACAAAAACAAAAAAAACAAATAACAAAATCAAACAAAACATACACAAATCGGGAACACTTGTAAGACTTCAATGTTCGATCATGCATTGGTGTCATTTGTTTCTAAAACGGCGTTTGACAATTTCACACATATTAAATTATGGTTACGACTTATTAGATTAGGTGTAACTGGTAAACTATTAAATGTATTAAAATCTATGTATTCAAAACTTAAATGTTGTGTAAAATTTGATGGTAGTTTCTCAAATTTCTTTAATAGGAATGTTGGTTTAATGCAGGGGGAATCATTATCCCTATTTTTATATTCATTATACGTAAATGACATGGAAATAGAGCTTATTAGTCAAGGATGTCAACCTTATGAGTTAAAAATGTTGAACTTGTATTTACTTATGTATGCAGATGACACAGTATTGTTCAGCGAAAATATTGAAGATTTACAAAAGATGATTAATTGTTTAAATGTCTATTCTAATAAGTACAATTTATTTATTAATTGTTTAAAAACAAAAATTGTTGTATTCAGAAACAGAGGTCAAGTTAAAGCAAATGAGAGATGGTATTTAAATGGAAATTCAATAGATATGTGTGATGAATTTGTATATCTGGGTATTTTATTTAGATATAATGGTTATTTTACATATACCCAAAAATCATTAGCAAACCAAGGTCGTAAAGCATTATTTAGTTTGTATAGTAAATTGCAGGATGACTGTTTTAATTTTGAAACTATGCTGTCATTGTTTGACACGTATGTAGCAAGTATTTTGAATTATAGTTGTGAAGTTTGGGGAAATCACAAATGTGATGATATCGAACAAGTTCAAATGAAATTCTTAAAACGTATATTAAAGGTGAAAGCATCTACTGTTAATTATATGGTTTATTGTGAGTTGGGACGATACCCTATGTTTATAGAAAGATATTGTCGAATGTTAAAATATTGGTTTAGTTATTATGTACTGATAACTGTATTCTTAAATGCTGTTATGAAGAAATGCTCGAGAGATGTAATAAAAAACCAAACGACAAATATAACTGGGCCTGTCGAATTAGAGACATATTATACATGTATGGGTTCAAGGATGTATGGTTACATCAGGGTGTTAAAAATGTGGATTTGTTTTTAATTGAATTTAAAGATAGAGTAAAGGGTAGCTTTCATAGTGAAATGAACTCATTTTTTGAAGATTCGCCAAAATGTACGTTGTATAGATATGTATTTGACCCCAACATGTTATAATTTTATTTAGATCATGCTGTAAATTATATTTATAAACCATTTATTTGTAAATACCGCGTATCTGCTCACTGTTTGAATATAGAAACTGGTCGATTTTATGATATTGAGAGACATCTGAGACTTTGTAATATGTGTGATAAACAAGTAACTGAAGATGAATATCATTTTATTTTAGTATGTGAAAAGTATAATGAACTTCGAAAGAAATTTATCAAACCATATTATTGGAGAAAACCTTCGAATTTTAAACTCGTACAACTGCTATCTGTTCATAATGTAAAGGAATATAACAATTTAGGGAAGTTTTTATTTCTGGCCGAGAAGGCAAGTAATTAAATTCATTTATAAATGCTTAATATGTGTTATATTTTATCATACTCTGCTGTACTGTTATATGGGTATACTTACTTCTATGATTATTTGACGAATTGTTTAAATGTAAATATATTTCACTGATGTTATTGAATATTTGTAATATTTATATTCTATAAGTTGTATTGCTTACGAATAAAAGATTATTATTCTCAGTGAAGGATATTCAGATTTTGTTTGTATCTAGATATCAGTCAATAATTTTTTTTCAAAAAATGCTTCGACTAAATTATTATAGTTTTTTTGTTTTTTTTTTTAGAGAAGAACATTCTCGGAACTCGGTTAACACAGATTGTTAACCCTTTTGGATAAATGTGAACTTAATCGTATACTTAGAAATTTGAAAGGAAGTTTTATTTTAAGCCAATCAAAATACCGCATTAATAATAAAGAAACAAATTACTCATTACCAATACAATAACATTTGGCTACGAATGATTATGTGTTAGTTGGAAAATGTAATTTTTCAAATAAGTGGAATATTCGTTTTAATATTCATATCAAGACATATCCTTCTTTAGGTTATTAACTATTTACATTTTGCGCGGTTTATATATAGCCCTCTAAATGATTAAATGTTATACTCTATTTCGTTTGATTAAAATGCTATAATATCACGACTCCTTTATTTATTTCACAAAGGATAATCATTACAAGTAACATTGTAATATTTTTTTCGATATATTACATGTAGCTGGAAACCGAAATATTTGTTAAACAAAACCTAAACGACGAAGAGTTGATAAAACCGAAAATGAAAAACCAGTTAAACCTTGACAAGGTATCAAAGCTTTACACAAGAGATATACATTCCTTATTTAAAAAAAAATATAAAAAAACCAATATCCATGTTTTCATTCCAGCTAGCACTCAGCTATGTAACTTTCGACCAAGTAGTATATTATTCCAATTAAACAGTACCATTGTTTTCTGCGCTTTCGACAAATAGTATATCTTCAGTGATGCTCGATGTTGTTGTCAATTCAATTTGTACATAGCAAAGAAAGAAAGAGATTAGAGATTTACGTCAAAGAGACAACACACATTTGCCAATTTTTTAATCGCCCAAAGTCTAACAAATTGTAAATAATTCCAACAGAGACTGTCAAAGTTAACCACTTTTTTTGCGCCTGTCCCAAGTCAGGAGCCTCTAGCCTTTGTCAGTCTTGTATTATTTTTAATTTTAGTTTCTTGTGTACAATTTGGAGTTTAGTATGGCGTTCATTATCACTGAACTAGTATATATATTTGTTTAGGGGCCAGCTGAAGGACGCCTCCGGGTGCGGGAATTTCTCGCTGCATTGAAGACCTGTTGGTGACCTTCTGCTGCTGTCTGTTCTATGGTCGGGTTGTTGTCTCTTTGGCACATTCCCCATTTCCATTCTCAATTTTATCATCAGCATTTCTTTTACTTTAGAGAATGCATTGTCTGTTACAATGTTAAATGCTTGAACATCGTATTTGTTGTTGAGAGTTTTCGATTCATTTTACTTAAATGTATTAAAACAGGTTTTCGTTCGAATTATTTGGTTTGCTATAAAGATAAAACAGAAATTTTATAATAAATTTATTAGATTTTATGGCCGCTTTTATGACCATTTGATAATCTGGGGTGGGGATTGATAATACATTTTCATCTGTTTCTACGCATGCTTATTTTTTACCGCATTGCCACGCTGAAATTTATTTTCACTTTTGTACACATTTGTTTCCTGCATTTTGTGTTACAGAATATTCATATCCACCAAGACTGTCTCGTGCACATCCAGGCTCCTTTACAATTACCGCCTCGGTGGTCTCGTGGTAGTGTGTTCGCCTCGAGTGCGGGAGGTCGTGGGTTCGAACCCCATCCGTGTCAATTAAACCAAAGACTTTAATATTGGTATTTGCTGCTTCTCCGCTAAGCACGCTGCATTTTAAAAGGTGTAAAAGCAAAGACTAGTCGGCTCGGAGTCAGAGTAATGTGTCCGCGTAAGGTGACATGTCTTCCTGCGGACTGTTAGCTTGTGAACTAGCACGTTACAAATCTGGCTCAGTGTGTCGGTCTAGTACAAAGCAGGGTTAATATTCATATTACATTAACATGATCTCCTCTTGAAAATGCATATCAATTTGCCACTGGATGTTTAACAGCCATTCATCATCATCCTTTACAAAACAGAGGCGTTAAGAAATAAACAAAAAAAAAACAAAAAACAAAAAAACCAGTCGCACATGCACACAATTGAAAATACAGTCGTAATTACGTAGAATAATACCTACTAAACAAGCAGTGGATTTTACAATGAAAGAAAAGCCTAACACACTTAAACAAAGCACGAAAAAGACTCCCAGAGTTGAACAATGCTACGGTCTTCTCCAATGTGAGTTGGCTATTATTTGTAGGTCCCCTTCCGTCATATAGCTCTTCAAGTGAACCGATATTTGTTGTAAACTTCCTTGGCTTTCAAATTTTTGGCTTTGAGCTTTCTTAATGACTGTAAATCCGGAAAAGTGTTTAGGACACATACACTTTATATAAAGCTTTTTTTTCGTTTTGTTTTTAAATATCTATACCATATGTTAATTCTAAATAAACCCTAGTCTGCGAAAAGTCCGGCATTTACAAAAACTTTCTACAAGTTGTTGAAATATATTTTCATTCGTTCACAATTTGATTAGTAAATATTGACAGAATTTCATGTTGACATCGGGAACAACGAATCTGTGTATAATTTTCTGAGAACTATGTCATTAACATTACAAAGAACTTTATTAGGAAGTACCATATAAGAACATGAAAAATTCCAATACAACAGAAATGTACGAAACGGACGCCATTTGGCAACATGCCAATGATAAAAGGGTATATACTTTAAATTGTTATTCAAATCGAACGAGTTTAATTAATCTTAATTATGACGAAATGTATATTAAAGTTTACACAGTATAATGACTTGCATTAATTTAACAATCTTCGTAATTGAAAAAAAAATGAATTTTAAATTTACAGTTCAGGGACTACGTCACCGTATGCAGATGATTTAAAAAACATAGTGGAATTTTAAGAGTAACTTTAACAATAAGAGGTTTATGACATGCGCCTTAAATCGTTTACCAGTAAACAAAAAATCGAATTCGAGGAATTAGTATAAATATAGTTTGGGGATTTCAAAACGATTCTCAGCCAATTGAAACATCTTCTTAAAGATCGCATGTAAAGCACATTTACAAATTACTTGTCTCATTTCAGATATTGTTTTTGAAGAGTAATATTCCATAAAATGTCATTTGGCAAATCAAACAGATTTTCAGACAGAACGCACCAAGATATGACTGGTCATCATGGGCATCATGGCTATCACGGTCATCATGAAGACCATGGACATTATCAGCAGCAAGTCCAGCAATTAAAACATTGCCAACGAACTGCCGACGGTAAACAAATTTACTTGTGCTTTTATCTAAGTAAAGATGATATAAAAATTTTAGGCTTATTTCGTTAAATTTTAATCACATTTTTATTATTAATACACATTTAAAAGTTTTTTGTACTTTTTATGATTAAGGAATTCTAACGTTTTATAATTCATATATGTAAGAGTTAAACCGTTTTGTAGTTTTTATATTTAAAACATCGATAACACGATTGGATTAAACAGTAATATACTTAAAGAGAATGTATTGATCTCACATGTTACCTTGTATTGATGATGATGAAGAGTTATTGGTTAACGTCCAGTGGCATATATTACATCCTTATCGGGATGGTAACATGTTCATCAGATATCAATATGACCTGCTTTGTACACGCTCAGCCGGATTTTTAATGTGCTAGTTCACCCTACCCGCACTCAAATTATTCCAAACTCCATAGTTGTACACTGTTATTCTATGGTCCTTTGCTATTCGAATCAGCACAAATTAATAGGTATACTTTGTCACTTGTTAAAAATAGCAACATGTCCAATATCACTGCACAAAGAATTTTGGATCACATATGAGTACATGAATTTGCGGCACGTTATGAATATTGACCCAGTTACAAAATTATAAGTCTTTTTTTTTTGTCCCGGTCGTTGAGTAAACCCACATCTCCCGTTCTCGAAGGGAGCACAAGACCAAAGAGACGGTTACTTTGTATTTGAAACACTTTAAAATTCGAAGTAAAGAGAAATATCGGGAAAGAAAGGCGTTACAGAATTTCGAGTCTCATCAGTATTCAAATAGACCACTTGCACATTAAGTGGCGTTTCGCTTTCAAATCTGCAAAATATATCGACCGTAAATAGGTGGGGCAAAATACGATATTACGTACTTCCGGTACGACTAATCACCAAACAATGTGCAAGTGGTCTATTGATGATGTTGGTAATCAATGTTGTTTATTCTATTTTGAAATAGCAAGTGCCCAAATGGTATACGAAGTATATGGCAACTGCATAGCTATTTTAGAAGAATTCGAGCAAAGAGAACAGAAATCAAATCGATTAACAAAATCAAATATAAACCTTCCTGACCAATCTCATAAAGGAGATTATGACGTGAGTACAAGCAAGAAATACATCGTATTTAGATTGTAAATATTTTAATCAGATCGGAAGAACTGTTCGATGCATTATTTTAGGGGCATGCGATACAGTTTCATGGGAATATTATGATGCATGACGTTGCTAACGTATGTATGTTATTTTTCGCGACGTCAAACTGACATATCGGGGAAAAGATGCATTTTTCGACTGATTTTAACCATTAGCTCGAAAACGAGTACATGGGTCCCCTTTTTGTATGAAGATTATTTGTACCAATTTTTATGAACAAATCAACGTTGATTTTTTATAAATTAGATAAATACACAGTAGAATGTTTTTAATAAAAATGAATTGTTTCCAACGAAATGTTACACTAATATAAGCATACATTGTGTATTAATGTACAAAAGATATTGCAAACGCTTTAACAAAAATCCGCTTGCGTTTATCTTTTGAAACAATAGTTCGGTTTGTCTATCCAAAGGATAGAAATGTCCAAGAAACCATAATTTTTAGTAAATATCTTAGATGTTGACTGCATTTATGTATAAAAGTAGCACACGAAGCTATACGTTTTTATTGCACATTTGAATTAACTCTAGGTGAAAAATAGCTTGTATGCAATTTTTCGTCAAAAATTCACCGTGGAATCAAAACTGTATTGTATGCCCTTAAATATTCATTGAAACCCATTGGTATTCATTTATCTTTTTTTTTTGTTATTTTGCTTTTCTGAAGGGTTTAAGGTTGTTGTGCTGGTGCAACTCAGTTTTAAGGATGTTCGCTGATCTTGTCTGATATTCGGAATCCTCGGGTTTTATCGATGTAGTGCGATTAAAAAATTCGCCGGCGAATCCTCAACTTTTCCTTTCATAATTTTATTATAATTATGTAGTTTAAAAAGCCATATTAGAAAACCTCATAAAATCCTTGTTATTGTTTTTTTAGTTTTAGAAAGAAAAAAGGTGTCAAGGTTATATGTAAGGAAAATCTGAGAGAACCATCTCCCCCAAAATTGATAATGGCTTATATCTCAAAAACAAGTATACGGAACTTTCATTTTTCTTGCTTTTTTAGTTTCGTTCGTTATCTATATACTATCAATTAATAATAGGCCTTGTAGTTTTGAAACAGAGCAGCGACCATCCTTAAACGTGTTTCAAAAACAATAAAGCAGAAAAACAGAAGAGGTACATATCTCTAATACAATATGATAGTATCCATTAAAGACCATTAAGGGGAACATGGGGAAGGAACTAATGTTTATAGCTGTAAGAGATTTCAGAGTTTTTAAATTAGTGAAATAAAGGATAGAGAACAAGGTATTTATCTAATTATGAATTGAAAAATTGAAGTTAACTCACTAAAGAGGAAATTTATTATAGATTTGTCTCTTATTCTAACGCATAGAGGCGAGTTATGAATTCAATTTGTAAGGTCTATTTATAGTTTTTTTTTGTTGTTTTGAAAATGATTAGGTAAGACGAATACTTGAAGCCCAGTTATTGATGCTGGAGACTCAAATAAAAAGTTGCCGTGATGATGTTCGAGATAAGGTGATAAAAACCCTGAAAGATTTAACAATGGGATGGTACGCTGAAAGACACGACAAGCAGCTCCCTACGGACAGTTATACGGATAAATATGCTGCAAAGATATACGAGATTCTCGCCCGTGGAAGAACATCTCACCCATCAGACTTTTACCAGAAGTATGAGTAGATAGAGAAATAGTTTTAGATGAATATTCTTATAGAAATTCTTTGAGATTGTTTTCAATAAATATTATAGAAATTCCATTTCAAGAAAATACACTTTTTTTTTATTGTTTTCTTATTTGTATAAAATTTGAAGTCGATAATTCACACAAAAGTTTCAAAACCTCTTCTTTTTCTTTGTAATCAAGTAATTGTAATACTGTATGTAAACAGTTTCGAACGTCTATTTAGGATTTCGCGGTGGCAACTGTTAAAATACGGTTTTGTAATTTCGAGGACGATTATAGCCCTTGGACCAGCATATTAAACGTCACAGTTGTATAGTGGGGATAACCTTACAACTTGAACTGCGTTGGGTAATTTTATAAATAAAAATATATATTGAGTAAACATAAGAGACAGCAATACAGAGATTATCAATTGTCCGTAACAATAAGCCTCTCGTTTGTACCATATAATTACATGTCAATGTTGGAGCATAATTGGGGGAATTGAGGTAACTGTTGGAATTCGAGGGAACGCAAACGAATATGATATTGTAAAGCATTATTCATGTTAGTATACTAAGATAATATAAATATTTACAGACCAGGTGACGTAGCAGGTGTAAGTAAAGAGGAAATGCAACTTGTATTAGCTGCACAGCATAAAATATCAGAAAATGACAGAAGCTTTACAGACGATCCAACAAGAAGACCGAATACACCTAGTGTTAGACCAGGAGACAAGAGAAGAGGTAAAGTATATATATATATAGGATAACAATCATGGTTGTCTAAAAATAAAGATTACTGTCATTCCAAGTCCTATCTTTTTTTATTAGAGAACATCCAGATTTTATCCTTTATTATTTGTACGACAAAGCACATTCTCAAAATGTTTCGGTAAGAATTGATGACTGAATGCGCATGACAATTCTACTTTCGTTTTTAAACCGCAAAATATTCAAAAGATCGTCAGCCAAATAATGGTATGAAACGTTTGGAAAAAGTATGATTATGATACTAGTAAGTGCTGCCCTTGAATCAGGTATATGCAAATGGGTGTCACTTATGAGCATAACACTACCTATTCTTTTTGAAACGGGACTAGCAATGGAGTTCTAAAAAAAATTGAAATATTTATTAGTCTAAAGTTAGTAGAAAATTAGAAATCCCTAATATCATACATAAGCGATACTTGTTAAAACACAAAAACCCACGGTCAGTCTAATTGTATATTAATAGTGCTGGATATGTTTAAACCCCCTTTGCCTATAAATGGCGAAAACAATTTACCCAGGTCATCCCCTTCATGAACATTGATTAAAGGTTATCGATTCCTCTGTTTACAATGTACTGGACTAGAATTAAAAATTGACTTTAGTTAATTCCTCTTTATTGTATTTTATGGGATAAGTATAACTCAGTGATCTGAGCCTGTCTCGGTCGTCCTTACTAGTATATTGATGTGTAAGACAATGACCACTTTGTCTAGGATAAATACACGAACCCTCTTTGTATGCTAACGAATAATACGATGACTCAAAGTCACCCTTCCTTTTTTTATTCGTTTTATAATTGTTTTATAATCATTCTTTACTAGGAAAATGACATTGGGTCATTTTGTGAAACTTATCCGATATGACCTTAGGTCGTGGGATTTGTACATGTACTTATCTAATGTGAAGTGCCACTGTGCTTAACATTTAGATACAATGGGATGATAAGTGTTATTGTGTTCAGCACTATTATAATTTATATATACAAAGGGTTGGGTTTTTTTTTGTCTGTTTGGGTTGCTCATCCAATTTTGTCAATATAAAGAAACTAGTATATATATTTGTTTAGGGGCCAGCTGAAGGACGCCTCCGGGTGCGGGAATTTCTCGCTGCATTGAAGACCTGTTGGTGACCTTCTGGTGTAGTCTGTTCTATGGTCGGGTTGTTGTCTCTTTGACACATTCCCCATTTCCATTCTCAATTTTATAAACAGTTATGTTAGAGGCCTGCAAGTTGGTCGTGTAGCTTGCTATAAACCAGTTTTAGCCCACCATTTGTTTCGGAAAATGTCTGTACCAAGTCAGTAATATGGCAGTTGTTTTCCATTCGTTTCGTTGGTTGATAAAGTCTTACGTTTGATTTTGCCAGTTTTAATGGACTTCCCCCTTTTTGAAATTACCTTAGAGTTCTTTTTTTTTGTTTCACTTTTTATATTAGGGATTTTTAACTGTCTACCCAACTCAGTGTATGAATTTTCAACCCCTTCCATTAACCCCGATTATAATTGGATAGGTTATATGATTTCCATGTTCCTGGTATGAGTGTAGCAGTCCATATTATAATAATGACACATTTTTTAAACGGTTCTTATCATTCTATGACTGGCAATCTCTTTGATATTTTGCGGTTATTAAACAGAATAGAATTGACATGCGCATTTAGTATGCAGAACATATATCTATATGATGTATACTTTTACGACGATATTGATCTGTGGTCATGGATGACCTGAGTTCGATTCTTATAGGAAGGTTTTAGAATGTGCTACGTCAAAGGGGCCTGGCGTTTGTTTTTGTTCAGCTAAGGGAATTCAAACTTTGAACATAAATGGCATTGATCTTCAATAAAAATCAGAATATAGGTACATTTGAAACTAATCAGAGACACGTTTTTGTTGAGAAGATACGTTTATAAGCGGCAACACACAGTTTTATAGATCCTTCCATAAATGCACACTTAACAGTGAAAACCTTTAAAAACTGAAATCTTGTTTTACATTTTAAGTTCCAAATAGATTTTCCGGGTGCATATGTTTCGCTGCGATGAAGACCCATTGGTGGCATTGGGCTGTTTGCTGCTCTTTGGTCGGGTTGTTGTCTCTTTGACACATTCTCCGTTTCCATTCTCAAATCACTTTATACAGAGTATTTAGAAATGGAGATACGCATTTAAAAAATCTTTAATCGACTAAGGACGACAGTTTACCGATCTTCAAATCTCGTAAATAGATTAAGAAGAAAGGATTGTACTGTAATGTAAAACGCCATTTCCTGTGTCATTTGATTATTGCTGACTTGGTTGTACTTTCATTTAAAGAAACATTCAATAAAGAAAAATGAGATTTATGGTATACGTCATAAATAAAAGCAACAGTAGTATACCGGTGTTCAGAAGTCATAAATCGATTGAGGGAAAACAAATCCGGGTTACAAACAAAAAGATAGCAACCAAACGACAAAAAAACTCAATGTTTAACCCCATGGCAAATAAATAATTTAAAGTTGGTTTTTGAAAAGAATTGTTTCTTAAGAAAAATTCTATCATTGCAGGTGCAGAGAGACTCCGAACAATACGAAAAGATCTTGAGGATTACATTCCATCAGAGTACTTAGGTACTGATATGAAATGAAAACAGCTGACATCAAAACATGAGTGAAAAGTGTTAATCTTTGACGATAAAGTAAAGAAGTTACAAATAGTTTATTACATTGTCAGGATGTTTTCTTTAAAAAATAATTTATTGCCATTTTACAGTATTTTTTTTGTGATTTGACATTCACTTGTACTTACAATTTTTGACATTTATACACGTATCTTACATCAGTCACGTACTGATGACCTCATGTTTTTATTGGTAATTAGCTTTATTTAAAAAGAAGAAGATACAATACAAGTATTGGTCCTATTGATTTTCTTATTTCACCATCTTATATAGATAGATATGTTTGAAAGTATTTAAAAGAGAGTTTAAATGATTTATTAAAAATATACAGATTATTGTAATAATTTTTATTATTTCACCAAGAAGATAATTCTTCAGTACGGAAAATTTAAGAAAATTTTAAAGATCGGAAGTTGATATTTTGTCTATTCCTTTGAAAGGAACGCATTTCTACGGAAATACTCTGATTGTAATCTCTTCTTTGTTTTCCTGTTGGCAAAAGTCTAAATATATATTTTGTATCATTTTATTTTATACATCTCTCAGATCGTTAATGTAACAGGTGCATGCTCAGTTTTTTGCATTTAAGGATGTTTGCTCCTCATTTTCAAAATAACAAGCTTTTTTAAAGACTGTTATAAATTGACAGTATACAAATAACTGAATTTAGAATTCAGAAAAACATGAAAGGTCCGTGTCCTTGTTTTTGAGATATAAGTAACTGGAAATTTGGCAGGAAATGATTTTCTCTAAATTTTGCATACATTTATCATTGATGACTTTTTCAAAAACTATGAAAAAATAATAAGGATTTTTATAAGATTTTCAAAAATGTCTGCATATTTAAACTCTATATAATAAAATATGAAAACAAAAGAAGGGGTTAGTGGGCAAAACTGCACTACATGGTTAAACTATAGGATTCCTAATATCTGACAAAATTTCAAAAACAAAATCGGTGAGATATCCTATTTACTGTTCCTTGACCTTAAATGTAATCTGTACATTGCACACGATGGTACCTTTTGGTTTTTCTATAACGTTGCTGCATGAAATTTAATGTAAAGTACAATTCATCAAAACCGTTGTAGAAAAAAGGAGCGATTAAATATTTGGACATCAGTAGAGGTAGGCTGGTCCTTTTCCTTGCAACATACGGGTATCTCAGACACCCTTGTTGTCAAGTCAGAGCCAAACAGATAAAGGACAGGGAACCAGTCTACAGTAGAGGTACCTGTTGTTGAAGACTGTATGTTAACCTTTAACTAGATGTTTTTTTTTAGTTCCTTTTCATTGTCATTCATTCAAAATCATATTTTATTTGTATTTAACAAAAATCCTATTTTGATCATATTTATCAAAAGACCACAATTATCATTAGTATACAATATAGCAAGCTCTAAATCTCCACAAGTTGTCTTATTCTTCAAAAAAAGTTTTTAATTGATTCCTTCTTGATATTTTCTTAAGAACCTTACTGAAAATATTGTGATGTACTTTGGTTTTTCTTTATACAAGCATCAGAAATCAACAGACTTTATAGACTGTAAACAGAGTCTAAGAATAATACTCATACACCAGATGCTTGATTTGTAACTGACAATAAATATGCTACATTTGATGTTTTTTTTAAAAGACAGACGTCATTTCTATAGGAAATAACATTTTGTCAGGGCATGAGTTTCCTATAATTTCCTTTATAAAGGGTTGCTGCAAACCAGGAAACTCATGTACTAAGGGTTCTTAATGTTTAAAGTGAAGTAATCTCTTTAAATGTTTGACAGACGCCGTCATTATTTACTTAACCATATTCAATATATAGATCGTAGATTACAACTATGTTACAGTCTTAGCCTTAACCCTACTTTCCTTGTTTGTGATATGACGGAATGCGATTGATCGTCAGATTCATAAGTGTCATGTGCTACATGACGTAGGTCACCAGTGGTGTCGAATCCCGCATGTGGTAAGTAGGTGATTGTCAGTTTTCCCACCGAAGTTCGGTGATGGTCTTCGGGCACCCCGGCACCCCGACTTTCTCCGCTTATAAAAACTAGGCACAAAGATGTAGCCAAACGTGCTGAAAGTGGCGTTAAGCACCAACAATCAATCAATTAACCAGTATTTGAGGAATTGCTTACTCTACTATAGGATCTGTTTTAAGTTTTTAGTCGAAGAAGTTTTTTTCCGCCTTCTTTCTTCCGAAAATGTTGTCAGACTTTGTTTTTTTTCTGAAACATTGGAATATTTTTACTCACATCCTATTACCTGCTATCAATAATGTCCATACAATAGGACCTGTGTTCCTGATTGCCATTAACACATTTGTGTTTTGCTATTGTGTACGGCAAACATTTGTCTGTTTCCGATTGCAATTGCAATATGATGTATTTTGTGATCATGTTCAACAGAATTTTACCTGTGTTACCTATTGCATCTGCTGAACCTATAGCAGAAAAGGGTTCGTTACCTATTGTACAAGTCTTGATCGACTTACTTGTAAAAAAAAATTAAAAAGTACATGTACGTGTTCAATTTAACCTTTGCTTTTACAAAATTCTCAATTTTACGAAAAACAAAATACACTAGGAATAGAATACCTTAGATGTATTTGGCAAAAACTTTCGGAATCTGGGTTCGCAATGCTCTTCAACGTCATAATTTATTTGGCCATATAAACTTTTTATTAAAGCGTCATTTATGCGTCTTGCGTACACAATTAAATCCTGGTATCTATGATGAGTTTATTGACCAGACAAGGTCAGAAATTGAATGTAATCTATTACGCAGTTTAAATAAATTTATTGCGTAAAACAATTACATAGGAAACCTAAATATATCTGTATCGTACACACTAAGGAAGAATTTCAAACACAAACGATTTGTAAAACGCGGAAATTTAACATTTACCTTATTGTAGAGAAAGTATGAATAATTTTTGTTCTAATAGTGTAGTTAATCATATGCAATAAGTAAGCATTCTCGACCGAGCACATTTGTTTCCAACGACAGAAACGGGTATTTCCAAAAATACATATACATTGGCAGAGATTGATATTTCTAAGTAATGATTATGTAAGTATGGTTTTACATATTTACATGATACGAATACTATAAACAGAGAGAGCAGAACATGGGGTCAATCCACAAACCATAAATCAAAGAGCAACAGACAACATAACGACCGGAGAATGATAAACTATTTTCTGCGACATACTACACAAAAACAAGGATAATCACGAATCAAACCACAAAGAAGTGCACTCAGGTACTCCGAAAATGTACAAAATATAATACAAAATTAAATTTATATTCAATAATTATATTTGTAATGATGATAATGATGAACAAAGAGTTCTTAGAGCTAAAGTTGAAGTCATTTCTTCGAAATATTTGATGACACTACTAGTTTCATTAATTGGTAGACCGTTATAACTGCGTTGCAGGTGATCAAACAGACCTTTTATTAGTTACTAGACGGTATCGGTTTTGTTCATTATGAGAGGCCGTAAAGTCACCTGTTGTTGATGAATCCTTTTTTTTTCTATGATTGATTTGTCGGGTAGTCTCATTTACATGATGAGTTTATTTACCATTACACCACGTCTCCTTTAAGTCATGTGGTACAATTCAAATCTAAAACAAAGTTGAATATGTAAAATTCTTGAAGTTTTACTATGAAACACGTGTACATTGACTTTTTTTCAAAAGACAATCCTTAATGTAATAAAAATCTTCCGATATGTGCTACTTTTAAATTATTATGTTTCCGTACTGTAATTCGCCAATAGCTTTTCCAAATGTAGTGATCTTTACCACGAGACCACGCGTTAGTTCTTTGGCAACCGCACAGCGCAAGTGCGAGAAAAACACGATCAAAGAAAAAGTAAACAAACGTTGAAGTTAGATAGTGTTATTTGATCCCGAAAGAAAAAAATTATGACACCAAATCATTTAACAACTGTTAGGAAAAAATGTAATTAACAAATAGAAATGCATTGGTAAAAAATTAAAAAAAAGATCGCTCTATTGCATGTCTATCGTTCCACTATTTTTTACCGAGCTCCATTATTCTGAGTTTGTGTTGGTTGTTTATGAAGATCACACACGGTAAAGGTTAGCCTGGGATCCTGCCTCACTGCTCGACAGTAGAGGCAGGCGGAAAAAAACGACATGTATCCGTTTTTTTAATGTAAGAATGATGCATCGTTAGATAACATCATTTCTTGACACATGGCGGGAAATATTTACATTGCCACGAATTAATTGTAAAAACAAAATACAAATTCCAGAAAAATATAGCAATTATAATCCAAACATTATTGATTTACATCGTGAATCACTAGTTAATTTACGATCCGATCATACTAGTTGTTTATAGAACACACATACCTATACGCAGTAATTCATTTCAGTTTAGCGCTGAAAAAATAAACACGTGGATTGTATTTTATACGTCTGGCCGTACTGACACGAAGAAGAAGTTTAACTAGGATGCCAGGCTAGGTAAACGTCGGGAACAAAACACGAAAGTTAATCAGCAGGGGAATTTTTCCACTGAATGAAATATTCTTTGTCGATTATATGTTATTAAGGGTGTACCCAACTCTATACCCCCCAAAACAACCCTGTCGTTTAATTTTTCTTGTTTTTCTCTCATTGATAAACTAGGCCTAGCTAAACATCTTATAAATATTTTCAAAAGATTTGAACCATAGGTTTAAAAGATTTGGCAACTCGAATATGGCATCTTTTACATGCTAATATCGTCCAAATTTGGAAGTTTCAGAAATATGGGTATAGGGGTATATATGTTAATATTTTCAAAAATTAATCCTAAATTGACAATAGCATAGTTTATAGTCATAACTGAGGCAAATTTGAGTTCACCGATACCCTTTACTTCTAAGTTTTTTATTTTGGATTTAATGTTTTGTCCGAACTAAAAAAGAAGGGTATCAGAGTCAGCCCCCAAAATTGAATGTGATGGGTCTAGTATTTGAAGAAGAAATTTTTTTATGAAAAAAGATGTCTCGTTTAATTTTTTCAAAAAGCTAACCATTTGTAGTGTTATATCAGTCTGTTGTTCTTGCAAAAATTTATAAAAATTTAACCACATGATTTTTTCGTATTAAAGTTTAAAGTACGTCCCCACCCTCAAATTGGCTCAATAAATAAGAGCAAAATCTATTCTGATAGTACATAATGGCCATAACTTTTTTGTCTTTTGATCTAGGCCTTAGATATTTGCATGTGGATGTATCATCATGAGGTTAAGTGTCTTGTATCGTGATGACCTTCATGTAACCTTCAAATTTGACCTTAAGGTCAACTTA